TCTTTGATCTATTGTTCAGAGTGATGGTGAAATAGATTGTGATATTATCAGCATAATTCAAGTTGGATGGTTGAAGTGGAGGAATGCATTGGGCTTGTTATGTGATAGAAATGTACTCCTCAAACTTAAGGGGAAATTCTATAAGATGGTAGTGAGGCCTGCAATGCTTTATGGTGCCGAATGTTGGCCTTTAAAAGAGAAGCATAATACTAAGTTAAGTGTGGCAGAGATTAGGATGCTCAGGTGGATGAGTGGCTTTACCCTTAGAGATAGGATACGAAATGAGCATATACGTGAAAAGGTTGGAGTAGCTCCAGTAGAAGATAAGATTAGAGAAAGTCGCCTTAGATGGTTTGGTCACATAAAACGGCGGCCTTGCGATGACCCGGTTAGGAGAGTAGAGGTATTAGATTTGACTTATGTTAAGAAAGGTAGGGGTAGACCTAAAAAGACTTGGTTAGAAAATATTAGGAATGACCTTTCTTTATTAGATTTAAACGAGAATTTGACTTTTAATAGGACACAATGGAGAAAAAGGATTCATGTAGCCGACCCCACGTAGTGGGATAAAGGCTTGATGTTGTTGTTGTTGTTGTTGTTGTTGCAATCCAAACCTATACATACTATCGAGATCGAGCACCTTATAGCAGCCAATCAAATAACAGATTGCATGGTTACTGGTCAAAAATCCCAAGTTTGCATTCATCATCACCGAGTTTCATTTGTATATCAAATCTGCAAACCAGCATTATCTGGAGATATTTATGTTCATAATAAAAAATAGTTTATAATATATACATCTGACATATTGAAGGATAAATGAGATAACGATCCTTCTGACCTCCGTTGCTTGCCAATTACGGTCCTTCCAACCTCCATCACTAGACTACATTCTTTCGACCTCCGTCGCTCGCCAACTACGCTCCTTCCGACCACCGTCGACAGACTACAGTCATCCTTACTAATGTTGCCCTCCGACTATGGTTCTTCCGACCTCCGTTGCCAATTAACGGTCTTTCCAACCTCCATTGCCCGTCAACTATGGTCCTTCTGACCTCCGTTGCCAGACAATGGCCTTTTAATTACTGTCGCCCATCAACTACGGTCTTTCCGACCTTCGTCACCCGCCAAATACGATCCTTCCGACCTTCGTTGCTAGATAATGGTCTTTCTGACCTCTGTCGCCCGCCAACTAAGGTGCTTCCAACCTCTCTCACCAGATTAAGGTATTTTCGACCTCCGTCGCCTGCTAACTATAGTCCTTCTGACCTCCATTATCAGATAACAATCTTTTTGACCTCCGTTGCTCATCGACTACGGTCCTCTAAACCTCTGTCGTCAAACTACAGTCTTTCTAACCTTCGTCCCTTGCTGACTACAATCCTTCCAACTCCGTCGTTAGATAATAGTCCTTACCTCTGTCGCCAGCCTACTATGGTTTTTCCAACCTCTGTCGCTAAAGTACGGTCTTTCTGACCTTCATCGCGCACCGACTATGATTCTTCTGACCACTGTTACTCCACTAAAGTCTTTCCGACCTTCATCGCCCGTCAGACAGTGGTTTTTCCTTTTTTTTAGGGGTTTTGACATAAAAACTCTTGTCTCTTATGAACGCTACACCTTCTCTTTTATTTGATTGTGTGCTGAATCTTCGTATAAAGCTAAGACGTTAAATTTTATATTTCTCTATCGCCGCAAATATTCCAAGACGCAACATGAATATATTCTTGTGTCATCTAATTCCTAAAAATTTTTCTAGAATTTTTATTATTCTATCATAAATTTCAAAACAAATATCTTTATAATTAATATTTTATCTATAAAATTATTATATGTATTGAGAAACTCAAATTTGATGTGTAATGATATATACATTTTAATATTTTATTATTTTGTCATAAATTTAATGAAAATATCTTCTTTAATTTTTCACTATATACAAATTAAAATAATACAAATTAAAATAAAAAAATTTCATTCATTTAAATATAATAGAAATATCTTCTATTAACTTTTAGATATCATTTTGACAAAAAAATTGATCATAAAATTATGACCCAAATTTGTTTCAATGTTATGTTATCAGTATAATATAAAATAATATATACAGAAAGAAAAATGTAAACTCATTACACCAAAAAAAAAAAAAAAAAATGATTTGTACTCCTTTTGATTATACGGATAAATATAATATTTTGCGAAGCCTACATTAACTAATAATTAGATATTTCAATAGAAAAAAAATTTATGAAACCCTAGCTGAATCAACAGAAGAAATTTAAAAAGTGCAAACAATAAAAAAATTAAGAACTTAGCTTACTTCCTAGTTTTCCTAAGCAAAGCTTCGAATTTCGCATGGGGACTTCTTCTTCTCTGCTCTCCTGCTATATTATTTTTCTCAATCTGCTTCTAATAGAGAAGAACTCTCTAGTATTAGCGCGGGAGCTTGCTAGAGAACACCATATCATAGACGTCAATTCACTGCTGCCGAGCAGCTCCTGCTCCATGCTTGATAATGGTTTGCTAGCAATGTCAATAATTTATTAATTCCCTATTTGATACTATTTATTTCATAAATTAATTAGAATAATAATAAATCATGTAGTAATTAGGCTCATTTAATAGACATCAGAAGCTTAAACGTGATGCAAGAGAAAAAAATTCCTTCTCAGTCACATATTTCTAAATCCCAATCAATACGTACATTAACAAGTTGTTCCAATTGTGGCATGCACGAATCCTTCCAAGCTCAAGGTGGTCCATCGGCGTGGCCCATGCGCATCCCTGGCACACAAAGACAAGCCATCTCATGTGGATCTCCTCCGTAAAGACCAAGCCCACGTCAACTACATCCACCGTAGAGCTGCCGCCGTCGCCGCCGCCCGCCGAGACTCTGTTGATGACTCTCTTTCTGCAAGAGTTCAAAAAAACATGGGTGCTGAACTTATTTACGACGACTATATCGTCACCATAGGCCTTGGCACCCCTACCAAGTCCTTCTCAGTTCAATTTGACACTGGTAGCGATCTCACTTGGGCCCAATGTGTCCCTGCAATAACTGTTATCCCCAAAACGACCTACTTTATGACCCAACCCAATCCTCTACTTTCTCCAAAATCTCTTGTCAATCCAGCTATTGTCACCAACTTGATGTATATTATTGCCCCTCTCCGTCCTCCTGTATCTACATAGAATACGTTGATGATTCTCATACTCAAGGCTCCCTCATTCAAGATGCCTTGACATTCTCCTCTGATACCATGCAGAACATTTGTTTCGACTGCAGCCATGACAACGGGGGGCAATTCATGAAAATAGATGGGTTACTAGGCCTCGGTCGAGGGGCTCTTTTAATTATTTCCCAGACAGCTCAATTCTATGGCAAGGTATTCTCATATTGTCTACCATCAAATTCCAACGTAGTTAGATATCTCGCACTAGGTAGCTCTGCCACTGGAGTGCAGTATACACCGATGTTAACCAACCCAAAACCTGCCATCCCAATACTTCCTAAAGCTTGTTGCCATTTCTATTGGGGGTGAAAGGCTCGCCCTTTCACTTACTGTGTTCAGTGCCGCTGGAACCATGTTGGACTCTGGTACGGTGATTAGCAGACTACCGCCCACTGCCTACTCCGCCCTACGCAGCATTTTCCGACAACACATGACCAATTACCCGATAGCACCGTCACTGTCCATACTCGACACATGTTATGACTTCACTAACTACCAGAAGGTGAAGGTGCCGGCAATTGCATTTATCTTTGATGGCGGAGTGACTGCTAACTTAGATTTCAGGGGATACTTTATATGGCCAAAAAATCTCAAACGTGTTTAGCCTTCGCTGGAAATAATACTGCTAGTGACATTGTGATCATTGGTAATGTACAACAATGAGGGTTCAATGTAGTCTATGATGTGGGGAACTTAAAAATTGGCTTTGGGGCTAATGGTTGTAGCTATAATGAATAGGTTTCGGCATGTTTGTTATACAATTGGGGCGTGTGGCATAGTTAATGTCATCATGATAAATAAAGTTCAATTTGTTTGGGGAGTAAAACACTAGGGAGCAAATACCAAAAAAAAATGTAGCCGAAATGAAGATAAGGTTCTAACATGACAAAATTTAAAATTAGGAAAAAAAATTATGTTGCCATACCATGTTAAGAAATTCACAATAAAAATTTGTGAGAAATAACACAAGTCTCTCTTACCTCTCACTCTCTCCTTATGGTTCTTCACCCTTGCACCATTCTCTTGCTAGAACTAATAAAAAGATATACTCTAAACCACCAAGAGACATAACATTTAATGAAAAATGAGAAAGAAAACCTTCAACCTGTCAAACAGCGTCGCAACACCAGGTTTGGAATGCCACTGCGCTCAACTCTCTATCTCATGTATGCCTGATTTCACCGTAGTGCCAGGTCGAAAATGATGCAGGGCTGGGGTTTAGAGCATCGTAGCTCTTCACTCTTTGTCTACCTCGAATTAGATTATACTTTATTGTATGACTCAGGTACACAGTGCACAGCATTGTACGGGGGAAAAAAAAGATGAAAAGCACCCGAACATAATCAGAGTAAGGACCCCCTACAATCCCCCGTGAGCTCAACCGATGAATCGACACAATTAGATTCCACGCAAAACTAATGCCATTGTATACAAATTTTATGAAATAATAAAATATGAAATGAGCATCTCTATATCATCAAGAAGCTCTCTACAATATGAATGGCTAAAATATATTTTTTAAGTATCACAAATTGTTCTTTTCAAACAAAAAAAAATTAAGAATTGTTATTATGTTTTTTTTTTTTTACTTTTTACAAAAAAAATGTAGTATGCGTCAGCAAAAATGCATGCATATTATTTACAAAAATTAAATAGATAAGCGGATAAAAGAAGAAAAGAGAACTAAATGTCAGCAGCTGATTGGTTTAAAGACCATTTTCAAAAATTTATCTTATAATATTTTGATTAAGTTTAGCTCAGAATAAAAAATCTATATTAAATTAAATGGCATTTTAACCCACTAGTGAGACATGCCTATCTCTTTAGTAAAATAATAATCGATAAAATAAATATATGTTTGATACATCACAAAAAATCATTCTGTTCGTGTACGAATCTTGAGGCAAAATCAAGTTAGAAACTTCCAAAATTAAAATTGGGATCATCCGAACTCCGATTTTAGGAAAATTAAAGCCATATTAATCGTGTCAAATTACGAACCAAACGACACCAAATTTGACTCAATCAAGGCTCAAATGGGTCCAAATCACAGACTCGAAACACTTTTTGAAGGTTCAAACTACAATTTGGATTAACAAACGGTTTTCAAATGTGGCGCGCTTATAGTCTAGTCGAGCGGCTCGATGAGACGAATCAAACAAGCTCAAGATCGTCAAATTGTGTTATCGATAAGACATTCAAATGTCTAATAAATACTCTATAATCGGGGGAATCAGTATGGGCCATCCGATGGAGCACTCCGGACCAACCCTAGATCTTCTCTATATTTATGATGTGTGACACTCATGAAATTCTATAAATAAAACCCCCCTCTCTACATGAGGGGGACCTTTGGCTAGAGATTCCTCTCTACATGAGGAGGACATTTGGCTAGAGATTGGAGAGAGCTCTGAAGCTTCAAGAGGTTCCGCACCACCGCCCAGCCCCTAACCGCAGCCTGACTTTAGCCGAACCATCGTCGAGCCACTGTCCGGCAGCAGACCGTAGCATGACTTCAGCTTGACCATCGTCGGGACACCGCCTGGCCGCCGGCTGTGGCCAGACTTCCACCCATCCACCAATTGCCTCCGGATTTTAGCCCGACCTACGTCGGATCACCGCCGAGCGCCTCCAAACTTTGGCCTAGCAGTCAAGCGTCGTCAGACTTCCACCCAACCTTTTATGAATCATTCCCCATCGGCTGAACTTCTGCCCTGACATTGTCGAACTTCTGCCCGACCTTCACCAGAATATAGTCTTTTCGACCTTCATCGCCCTCCGATTATGGTCCTTCCAATCTCCTCAATTACTACGATCCATCTGACCACCGTCACCAGACTATGGTCTTTCTGACCTCCGTCACCCGCCGACTACAGTCCTTCCAACCTTCATTGCTTGCCGACTACGCTCCTTCCAACCTTCTCAGCCGACTACGGTCCCTCCGACCACCATCACCAGACTATGGTCTTTCCAACCTTCGTCGCCGGTCGACTACTGTCCTTCCAACCTCCGTCGCTCGCCGACTATGGTCTTTCCGACCTACTTCTCCAGCTACGGTCCTTGTGACCTTCTTCGCCAAACAAAGGTCTTTTTGAAATTCGTCGCAAGACAACAGTCTTTCTGACCTCTATTGCCCGCCGACTATGGTCTCGCTGACCAAATGAACTTTTCAATACTAATTTTTCAAATTCCCACCATGTAATATGATGTACATTATCTACATCAACCCAAGGCCTTCCCCCAAGAAAGGGCCTCATTTGTAATCAACTGCAAATAATAGTGGATTCATTCAAACTGGGCCAGACCCCGTTGCTTTTTCCCCCTTTTCAGAGGTTTCCACGTAAAAACTCACGTGCCTCTTATGAACACTACACCCTCTCTTTTATATGTTTGTGTGCTGGATCTTCGTATAAAGCTAAGACACTAAACTTTATATTTCTCTACCGCTGTTAATATTCTAGGACGCAACAATGGTTATTTTATGTAAGATGAAAATTCTCTTTCAAATAAATAATTTAGAAATACGTTATAATTTAAGAAGCATTGTTATGTTTGAGAAATCTATCAAGAAAGGTGAGGAAAAATCTCGTTTTTTATTGGCATCATTCACTCTCATGCATTGCAAGCAATTAAATAAAATAGAGAATGAGATCTATTTTTACATTAATTTTTTTTTTTTTTTTTTTTTTTGAAGAATGTCGCCATTTGCTGACATAAAAATATTACAGGATACCTTTATTTTTACATAGCTTTTTAGAAAGCATTAAAATAATGCAAAAGGAATTGTCAATATATTGTCAACAATAGTAATGTAAGATGGGGCTTGGTGCATGGAAGTAGGAGTGCAACCGAGTTAAGTCAACTCGTGAGCTAGCTCAGGCTCGGCGAGTTGAGCTTATCCAGCTCATGAGTCGAGCTCGACGAGTTAAGTTTATCGAGCTCGTGAGTCTAGCTCGAACACGATTTCGAGCTCGACGGCCTATCAAGCTCTAGTTCGGACCCCTTCACTGGACTCGCAAGCTCGTCGAGCAGCTCACGTAATTGCAATAGGAAAATGAAACCACGGGGCTTGTGCTGGCAGGAAAATGAAAATATGGGGCTCATGTCGGCAAGAAAATTAAAACGGACACAGACGCGGACGCAGACGCTGGCGGCACTTCAGACGCGGACGACAGTGGCACTTCAGACTCAAACGACGGTGGCATGAAGGATGCGAGCAGCACGTCAGGCACTAACGCGGGTAGCATGACATATACGGTCGCGAACGCAGATGCAGGCAGCACGTCTGACAATGATGAGGGTTGCATGACTGACGCGGACGAGCAGCTTAAATTGCAGCTCAACGAGCTTATTTTCCCTTGTCGAGTTGAGCTCGAGCTCAGTATTTAGCAGTTGAGCTCAACTCAAACAGGTCCTGACTCGAGATCGACTCGGCTCATTTGCACACATACTTGGAAGTAATTATGGCACAAATCTTGCAATAGATGGTTGGAGTGTACATCTTATGAGTGATGGCAATGATGTGGATCACATGTTTGACATCTACTTTTTGCATCAAATTAGGAGCATATTTATTGATGGTAGCGTTAGTGCTTGTTCAACACTTGGCATTTCGTTCAACACATCTCTCGGCCAACTTCCCAAAGAAGCTTTTAACAGTGTCGGTGTTAAGCATAACAATTTCGAGATGCCTCGTCAGTAGGAAAAATTATTACATTCGGTTAAAATATCAAGCATATCGAATGTATCGAGCGTGGTACTGAGTGCTGTACCGAGCACTTGTTGGACGTGGCATTTTGTTATTGGTCTCTGGATGAATTCGGTGTCCACTCCATCAGTAGTTCCTTTTGATCATATCTCATTTGACCAATTTAAGATGTCTTTATTTTATTTGACCCCTAACATAAAATAGTCTATTAGCACCTTAATTTGTGCGTCTTAAAAGTACATTTAGCCCATATTTTATAGGGATATGTCAAGTTTCCTTTATACAAATGACTTTACATCTTCAAGAATATATGGGATCTTATATGGCTCACAAGCAATTATAATGACCGCGCGCGCTCAACAAGTAATCAGAGGATGGTCACCTCGCTATAGCAGGTCTCTACCAATCACCCTCTGATGGCATTCTCCTTGATTTTAAGATTGAATATGTGATGCTCTAAAATCTAATTTAAAATAATTATTATTTAATATTTTAACAATTAATCAGAACTACCTAATTTACTAGCATAAAAATGGTTCTAATTATGTTGTCTAGAGTAAGAACTTAAAAATCAAATTTTGATTTATGCAAATAAACTATTTAACGTGTAAGAACTTTTATTTTTTGCGTGTTTGAGTTGAGTCTTTGTAAATTATTCAATTAAATTATCTTTTTGCTAGAAAATGGAAGATTATGAAAATTTATTGTCAATTTGCAAACAAGCATTTCTAAGAAAAATTATTTAGTGACGATTAATTCTTAGAAATTTTGCAATTGGTAAGTTTCTTAACTTGCAATGAGTCATACATACTTTGGTATCTGTCAGGTTGTTAATTAATTATATCTGTTAAAATTAAATAAAATATTGCATTTAATAAAGATACTCTACATTTACC